ACATATTTAACTACCGCAAAATAAATCCCTCTTTGGCACTGAATTTTGCATGTTATTTAGTATTTTTGTATCACGTTATGATCAAAATGGACATATTTCTTGAATAATACTTTTAATCTGTCAAATAATAGGAAAGATATTAGTCCTCATAGTTCGTTTTGGATTTGTTACTTTTTTGATAGATTGGGGGTACCAAAGCCTTGATATTTCGATCCAGAGGTATTAAAATACAAAATTAGCCTGTGACAGTATGCTCCTGATTTTACTTCATACTCGATTTGGAGCAACACAAGTTCTACAACAAAAACGTACACGATGTACTGTGCAAGTATAAAACGTCATATTTATAGATATTTGATTGACATGTTTACGCACAGGCCACGCATTTCATACCGCACGGGTTTTCCCTGAGTTTTTATAATCAGGGCTTCCATTTCCGGCAACTGTTTTATGGTTAAATCTTTACGAAACAATTACAAATTTTAGATAGACACGCAACTTATATTTGCGTATATATCTTACTGTTATTTAATGGTGGCCTCTAAAACTTTGCTAAAAAACAAAGTATAGTATATGTTACTTCGTGCCATACAGGTTACTTTTTGCCAGTTAGGATTAGCAATGCATACACAATATTTGCTCCAAAACTATATTTATTATAGTTATACAAACTTTGATTGGTTATATATAGATTATATATCACACTTAATATTTCTATCTTGATCTGACTTCGTCGTTGATGTTACCTCTTCAAGAGCGTAAACTTAACTCTCTAAAGCCCGTTCTCCACTACGCGAATTTGTTCGCGCGACGCGAAGCGAAAACCGAAATCCGGCAACGTGATTGGTCGGCGAAAAAATTCGCGGCGAAAAAGTAGGATCGCTTCCTAACCTTTTGCTGCAGCTTCTGTTAACTGGCATAAACTCTTAACCTTATGTACGTGATAGCTTACAAAGATACGCTAAATATCTTAGTTTAAATATTGAAGTTATGGAGCGTTTTTTCTTCATTGTAACGGTACAAAACAATTAAAAATGTTATATAACTGTTCAGTATATTGCGTACGGCATTACTTGCATTGGGTGTCTATAAAACGGAGGGACCTGGTTAGGGATAGGATATATTAGGTTGAGTAGATGAGGTCCAGGGAAAGGTGGGGGGTAAGGAAAAGGATTTTGGGATGCAAGGCAGGGAAATGGGGGATATAGAAAGAAGTTGGATTGGTTGGGTTGCTGAAGGGGTTGCCATACATTGGGTGAAACTGTAGCTGAAATTGGGAATACTCTAAACTGGTCTGTCTCACCAGGGTTGTAGTAGGTTAGCCGATCAGGTGAGTGCTGTACTCGCTGTGGTCTCGGATTTCAACTACAGGTATGGTGAGGATATCATGAACAGGGTTTAGGTTATCCTGATCACCGCTGAGGTCTAATGTTTCTTCGGTCTCGGTAGAGGGTTGCAATTCAAGGGTCTCTAAATTGTCGTCCACAGCCAGGTTATCATTTTGATCAGGAACTGCCTCGTCTGTTGGTAGTGGGTTTCGGGATTGGGCAGAACGCGTTTCTCGAGGTAGGGAGACCATTACCACATCAGAGAATTCTTCGTCGCTGGAGGTTTCCTCATCCTGCGCTGTAACGTTTCTGGGTGGTTGTCCGTTTTGGTGTCGTAGGGTTGCTGGGGGTGGTTTTGGTGTAGGTGGTTGTGGGTTTTCCGCAGGTAAATGATCACAAGGGAGAAGTAATTTTCGGTGTAGAACCCTATTCTTTCTCTTACCGCTCTCACGCTTCGTTTCGTACACTGGGCTATCCGGGCCCTTCCGATTTACCACTACGTAGATGTCATTCTCCCAAAATGACCTCAGCTTGCCAGGACCACCACGTTCGGTAAGATTACGCACCAAGACACGATCTCCATTGCAGCTCTCCAATGTTTTACATACTGGGGGTATTCCTGTTTTGTTGATGGTGTTTGGGTTTGGAAAATGAGGTCAATGGGTAAGCGGGGGTGTCGCCCAAAGAGTAAATAAAAGGGGGAGAATCCAGTAGTGTTATTGCGAGTACAGTTGTATGCATGCACCACTTTGCTAACGTGATCTTTCCAACGTGATTTCTCGTTTTCGGGAAGGGTTCGAAGCATATCTAGGAGTGTTCTGTTAAACCGTTCTACTTGTCCGTTTCCTTGAGGGTGATAAGGTGTGGTACGACAATGACCAATGCCGCAAAATTCTTCCAGGGTTTTGAGCAGTTTGTTCTCGAATTCTCCACCTTGATGATCATGGATTTTGGCTGGAAACCCAAAGCGAAGGATGTAGTCGTTGTACAACTTTTCAGCCACAGTCTTTGCCGCTTTGTTTCGGGTCGGGTAGGCTTGTGCATACCTGGTGAAGTGATCAACAATCACAAGGATATAGTCGTACCCTCCACTGGACTTTTCAAGGTGGACGAAATCGATAGAAACCAACTCGAAGGGGCAGTAGTGATAACAGGTTGTAATGGTGCTCTCGTCTTCAATCTTGCTGGTCTTTGCTTAACACAGCGACAGATATTCCGTACATAGTGCTCCACATCACTCTGCATCCTAGGCCAGTAGAACCGATCTCGAGCCAAGCGTAGGACGCGCTCAGATCCAAGATGAGCCATGTTGTCGTGAAGTTTACGTAGAACTGTTCGATGGTATTGTCTAGGAAGCACAATCTGATCGTGTGAGTTGCTCTGTCTTCGTAGAACGCCGTCTTTAGCAATAAACAGCTTTGGCCATTCGTGAAGTAGGAGTTTAGTATCGGGTGATTCTGCCGCTCTCTGGGAGGAAGTTGGTCGCTGTTTTCTGTTCACAAACGAATAAACTTTTCCAATAACATTATCTTCAAGCTGAGCTTGTCGAATGTCACTAAGGTTGAACTGTGGAGTACTGCTAGCGATTGGTTGTGGATCACCTCCATGCAACACAGATTTAAAATTTCGATTTAGGTCTTCAATGTATGCCTTCACCTCCGGGTAGAGAGGGCGAGGCACGGCAACTTAGTTCTTTTGGACAGGTTTAGTATCATTGAGCCGAATGTTCATTTGCAGATTAGGGATATGACCAACGTCATCATCGTCCTTAGCAAACGCATCAGCTTGTTCAACCTTCAGTTTTGACGCCAGGTTTCTCTGTTCCTCCGTCAAGCCGCCTAGATCTAAATCTTTCAGGTGTTGTGGTAAATTCACTGGTAAATTATCTTGTATTGTGCTGCTCTTGCAAGCACGTGATTCATTGTTTTTATCGGATAGTACAGTGTGAAAGGGATTGTCCTTTAGTTTGACATCTATTGGGACCACTAACTAAACAAGTTGGAGGCGACCAAGAACTGTACAACCCCTAAGCTGAATGTTATGCCTTGTCGTATTGCGTACTTCAATTTCAACTCTACTAGGTTTGCCCCCTTCACCGTAAGCAATGCATCTGATACTTCCAAGCCCGATGGCCACTGACCGTTCTAGTCAGCTTCAAAAAGAATAGGGGTTGGTTTACTGAGTGGACCAGTGTTCGCTCTACATGATAATTTCACAGATTGTCCTGGCGGTTTTATGACGTCTTTCTTACGGGTTTTAACGGGACAGAATTCATTATGGTTAACAGTGTTTATCAGTTCAACCAGGGCGGAAGCACGAGCGACTTGCATACCAACAAAGTTAGATGAAATAACACCACAATTAAATTTATTTGTCTTTATTAAATCTTCAATTACGTTAAAGCCTACCAAAGGCAGTTCTAAGTTCTCATTCGTTACTAGGATTGGAAAATTCTCTTTTAAAAACTTGGCTGAAACAATAGATACTTGGGCTCCTGTGTCCCATAAAACTTCTACTGTTTTCTCATTAATTTTTCCCGTAACCGTACATCTTTGACCTACGAGATTAATCAACTTTTCATTTTCCTTTGGAGTGAGGTGGCTCATGCAAATTTCAGAGTCGTTATCTTGTGACACTTGAGTCGTACGCTTAACTTCCCTTTTAATAGCATTACACAATGTTTTATGATGAGGCCAATTAGCTCTCTGACATGTCTAGTTACAATAGCTTACCAATTTACAACATTTGCATCGCCAAAAGTCTTTATTCAAGTTCTTTAAACAATAATTACATTGACGGTATGTTGACTTTCCGGCTAGACCCTGTCCCGACGGCGGGGTTGCCAGTGCTCGTTTGCATGAGCCTCCAAATTTTTCGCGCACTCTGACGCAATATGGCCAAACTCGCCACAGGCAAAACAATGTTGACACGTGCCGCCAATTTTCCGTTCTTTACACGATAGACACCCTCTACCACGGTATCGTGTTTCCCTCGGGAATTTCCGACCGCCTGACGATACTTCCCGATTAGCATTAGCGTTGTTGCCTTGTTTTTTTAAACTCTCAAGGTCAGATTTGATCTCTCGAATCTCCGCCAAAATTTTATCATTATCTCCGCCATTTTTACGCATTTTAATTTCCGCACCGTCCACTTCGCACGCATTAACGTTGGCAGAACGCCTATCAGATGCAAGCTTATTCTGCCTCTCAGCTTGGTGAGATGCCAATTCGTTGACATTTTTCATTAGTCCTCGTCAGATAAACTAGGTAACCGCAAAATGGGACGTAAATTTGCCGCCAAAATATCGTCTCGTAACCCTGTCTCGAAAGATTTCATGAATGTTTTCTGAATAAGTGGTTCATCATATTGAACTTCACAATCAGACTCTTTACTTGCAAAGCCTACTTTATTTCTCAAGTCAAGGGAACGTAGGAGAAACTGTTGAGGTGTTTCTTTTGGATCCTGGAATATTGTCGCAAGGGTTTGATAGAGTTCTGACGCGGATTTTTCAGGGTAGTGAACACGTAAAATTTTTCGCAACTTTGCCAGGGACAAATCTTTCAGTGTTTCGACATAGCTTCTTAAACTGCTATGCAATGAAATCGCGCGAATAACAGCATCTACAGTCTCATTTTCGCTATATCCACGTTTTAAGCCTGAATCAATTTGATGAGTCGAATCGAATGTCAATTTGTCTGCCTGACCGGGTTAACGTTCTCTAATATGCCCAGAAATTTTGAACTCGCGACGCAGAAATGAAGCATTCACAGAGTCATCTGGTTTCATGCATCCTTTTGTTGTATTTTTAATATCAGTTGTGACATTTGTGGTTTCCGCGTTTTTTGAACTGGTTTGAACTTCGGCCAATTTTGTCAATAAATCACTCATTTCAGATTGTTGTTTTTCCTTTAATGTTTCAATTTCCTTTTGCAACGAGATAAGCTCATTTGCTTGGTCAACTTTTTGGCTTTGATCGTGAGATTTAATTTTTGCAATACAATCCTTAAACCATGCCACTTTTTCGGACATTTCCCCCCCCCCCCTGCGTTAACTCTTTCATCTATATCTTTCTGAATAGTTTTTAAGATCGCGATTTTGCTCTTCGTTGAAATGTCTTTATCTAATTTGATCGAAGCAGCAAACTCTTTCAATTCGACCTCGCTTTTGGTGTAGAGTAGGGACTCTAATTCAACTTGTAATGTTTCAAGATCTTCCATAGACATAGTTTATTATTGACACTTGTCTTCATAAAGGTCGAAAACAACTATACTGTTCACGTAGTTCAATTCACATACACGAAAACTACTTTATTCCCACACACATTCAAAAGCGAGAACGCATGCTATGTTCGTCTTGATTACTACAACAATTAGAACGATCTAACCTCGTTTCTGTCATCGGAAAGCTTCAGTCTGCTACAGTCGCTGGACCACTTCTGCGCGTTGCTTCAGAGAACCACGACAGCGCCTTTTTTAACATACAAGCTGGGGGGCATTTGCCCCCCCAGTCCCCCTTGTGCCCCCCCCACGAAATCACATTTTGCCCCCCCCCCCCAGGAAAAGTCCCTTTTTCCTAAAATTTTACAAACAATCCAGCGAAGATTAACAAATAGATAAACGGAAAGTAAGTTTTAGGCTTTATCCTTTGTTCTTGTTTAACAAAATCGATTTAAATTGTTACTTTTTTTACCTCTAAGCCATGATAAATTATTGTTAATATTTATTTTTATTTTTTGGATGCTCAGAATACAGAAAATAGCATTTCACGGTTTCAAATTTCAAAAATTTTCTTGGGATTATCCCTCTAATAAGTAATGAAAAATTACAGTTAATATTTTTTTTACTTTTTGTGCATTTTTCCATCTTTTATTTCAAATACAACTACAGTTAGCATAAATTTTAGAGCAAATTTGGATGCTCAGAATGCAGGAAATGGCATTTCCGTGGTTCAAATTTCAAAAATTTTCAGGGGGAGTACACCCCTACACACCTGACCATTGCTATCCTCCTATAATAAGTAATGATAAATGATGGTTATTTTTTTTTACTTTTTGTGTGTTTCTTCCTTTATTTATTTCAAATACAAGTATAGTTAGGATAAATTTTGGAGCAAATTTGGATGCTCAGACTGCAGGAAATGACATTTCCGGGAGTCAAATTTCCAAAATTTTCTGGGTGAGTACATCCCCAGACCCCCCATTCATGCGTGCTATATTTGCCACACACGTGGCTTTCAGCCATTGCTACCCCCTCTAAAATATTATCTCACAGAAAGGTCCCTTTTCAAAAAATGCCCCCGCGACCAGAACCAGCAACAAAATTCCTTTTATTGGCAATCCTGCCGGGGTCACCAAATGTTACCTCGTGCCATACAGGTTACTTTTTGCCAGTTAGGATTACCAATGCATACACAATATTTGCTCCAAAACTTTATTTATTATAGTTATACAAACTTTGATTGGTTATATATAGATTATATATCACACTTAATATTTCTATCTTGATCTGACTTCGTCGTTGATGTTACCTCTTCAAGAGCGTAAACTTAACTCTCTAACATGTGTTCTCAAAACAGTCTATATCATGCACTATTATTTATTAACTGTAGTAAACGTCCTTCCTGTCCAACGTTTACTCTGTCTATTACGTCAATGGATTTGGCTCATAAACTAAACTTAATTAAATCAATACATTGACACATTCTAACACGTAGACGTAGCCCTGTTGTTTTAAATGTCAGAAACTATTATTAGCTCATGACTAGTCATGACTCCTAGATTCGCCACAAGTCGATCTCGATTACATGACTCCAAGTACAGACGTCTAATCCGACGTCTTTGATACCCACATCTTACAGCCTTAATTAATTGTTTTCTTTAGATTGTTCTTAAAAGTAATGAACTGTATGAGTAGCAAATATTTTGCTCCAGATAAAAAGAAAATGCATTATTCTTGTATGACTGTTATTGCATTCGGGATATAAATGGTTCTCGTCTTCTTAATTTAGAAGTCACTGGTTAAACGTAAATATTATATATGAAGCAGGCATATAATTTCAACTGGCACAATTTCGCACAATTGCTGTAAAAATGTAATTCTGTCAATGCAACACCAATGCAGTAAAGGCCAGATTCCACGAGCGCTTTTTCTCGGCGACTGAATGCGACACATTTCTACTTACTGTGAAAGCCGCGGACAAAGTTGGAAAATTCAATACAATCGCTCATGTGCAGCCGTCCGTATTTCGCAGATACAATTTCTCGCCATGAATTTCGCCGTCGTGGAATCAGGCCTTAAGGCCCACACAGCCGGACGCGATTTGGCAACGCGGCGCGAATTTTCAATGGCATTTAACTTTCATATTTTTCTGCGTTTTTCAACTATTCGGAACCACTTAAGCAATTTTAGTTATTTTGTCTGCATATCTTGTAAAATTTTTATCCGTTCACGGTGTTATTTGTTTTTGAAAACTGAAAATTCGCGTCGCGTTATCGAATCGCGTCCGGTGTGTCTGGACCTTTAATGGGCAGATACATGTACGCGTCGGGTACCTATTTTTAATACTAGTTAACATTCCTATTTTATGGTATTTTACTATAGATATACATGTGATGTAAATATTGTATTTTATCATAATTATATACCGTATTTACTCGATTGAGCGCCGCCCCCGATTGAGCGCCGCCCCCGAATGAGTGCCGCATTTGGGATCAAATTTTTTTAAAGTGCGCCGCCCCCGAATGAGCGCCGCACTAAACAGTGTAATAATTTTCCACCATCAAAATGGGGACATTTAGTGACAAAGACATTCAAAACTACAATCAGTGACAAAACACTTTAAACAAAATAGCTAAACAGCGTACTTTTACAACATAATCGACCCCTCGCACCCCCGTTCAATGTTGTGTGTGGAAATACCTGCGCAAAATGTTCCTTGCCAGCCACCCAACATTGTTTAGGGTGGGGGAGGGAGGGATAGTGGCTTTATGCTGTACAGTATTTGGAAATGCGGAGATATGTATATATTATACCACTGTCCAAAAACCTTTTGTCACTGATTGTAGTTATTTTATTGTTAAAAGTTCTTGATATAATTCATAAATAAAAGTTTTTTTAAAGAAGGCCGCCCCCGATTGAGCGCCGCCCTCGAATGAGCGCCGCATCTGAAGCTCTGAAAATTTAAAGAGCGCCACGGCGCTCAAACGAGTAAATACGGTAATTGTTAATTTATCCTATACACCCTGTATTAAAAAAAATGATAAGAAATAAGGATATTTAATTCCTGCCAGGCATATTAGTTATTTTATGCATAATTAGCAATTTACCAGGGGTTGTGCTTAGTAATTTTCTTGTAAAATATTATACTTAGACAAATTTTTCCTTCCAATGACCACCCCTAAAAGCAAACCTTCTAAACACTATAAGCACTTCAGAAAGGCTGTCGCTTTTGCTTTTCGGAAGTTAGAGCTAGCCGGCATTGCCGTTTCAGGGCGGGGCATTTTCAGGACTTTCGTCCCGGATTCAGGTTTTGGTGCATATGCCATGTTGAACGCCATGGTCATTTTACCCTAAAACAGTTGCGATTACCTGTGCTAAGTGAAACGCATACAAACATCTATACTGGTCCTAGACTAGAAAAATGTAACTTTGCGTGAATAGTTAAAGGACTTAAACTAAACAAAATTGTCTGAAATTTTGAACAGTAATTAAAAGCCCGACAAAGTTTCCATCTATTAACTCACAATATGATTAAAGCTTTTAAATTTTGTGCGCGACCATTTTTAATTCGTTGGAAAAAACACACACCCTGGTTCACAAAATTTGAGTTCGAGAAATTTTTTTATTATTCTACATTATATGTACCCAAAGAAGCTATATATATAAAAAACCGGATACAAATAGGTGTTTTGCGAAATTGAGAGCAATTTCAATTCTGTTCATTTTTTTATACACCCTGCAGTATAGATAATATGTAATTTCATCTAATAATTTGTAAACATATTGCAATTCACCTTTCGGTGCGAAAATATGTCAATAAACCATCCATTATTATTATTATTATTATTATTATTATTAAATTTGTTCGCCACTGCTATAAGTTTTACTCGTATTTCCAGCTAACAAAGCAAGTTGATAATGACGTAAGTCAGCGTCTAAAGCCACGAGAAATTTCCTCTGGTAGAGGTTGAAGTTGATGTTCTGCATGCGGTGCTAGCCGCTGAAATCTGGTTTGCTGAAAACGGGAGATAGGAGCAGCAATGTTATTATAATGATCTGGCACATGCAAGGCTTTGAAATAAAAGTTATACTTCAGTGTTTGTAAGGTTAAAGCACGCTCTAAGTCCATAATACGAGGGCATTTTGAACGTTTGGAATTGATTATGGAAACCACAGCCTGGTTATCGCAGTAAAACACAATTCGTTTTCGAGCCCATAAAGGTGCCCATAAGCAGGAAGCTACCACAATAACATAGAGCTCTTTCCAATCAATGCTGATTTTGTTTGTGGTAAGTGTTTGGTGAGGCAACCATTTACCCTCAAACCACTGTGTGCGGAAAATTCCCTCAAACCAAGGGTCCCGGTGGCATCCATATAAAGAGAAATGTTTGCAGAATTTTCCCAGAAAGAGTTGAGAAATTAACTTGTCCCATTCCAGTCTGTGAGAAAAATTTGCAACATTTTTATATCTTCGCGAAAACCATTCGTCAAGCGAATGTGATGATGTGGTTTGGAGACCTCCCGTGTTAGATTTATGATACGTTGCAGAAAAGCTCGACCCCCGGGGCAATCACTTTGCATGCAAAAGTTAATGTTCCAATTAGTGATTGTAGATCTTGGAGTGTAGATGACTTTTTTGTGTGCCACGAATTTAAATCAACAAATAAATAGACGATTCATTTTATCGGATGGAAGACGAGTCTCAATATCTTGTGAGTCGAATATAATGCCTAGAAATTCTATAATGAGAATGGGTCGTTCAGTTTCATGTTCTGCAATAGGAACACCTAACGTGCGGAATGTTAACAACATGCTAGAAACGCTAGTTTGGCATGCTTGAGAAAGCAGCCCAGTTTGGACCGGTGGTTCCATAATGAGAAAATCGTCTAGTATGTACCAAACGTAGCTTATAAAACAATTGTTGAGTAAAATCCACTCAACTGCATCCGAAAGTTGATTGAAAATATACGGCACACTACGTAGACCAAATGGCAACACTTTGTCAAAATAATAGGACTTGTTCCAATAGATGCCTAATAACTCCCAGACGTCAGGATGAATCGGGAATTTGACGAAAAACAGATTCTATGTCATTTTTAGCTAGATAAGTGCCTCTGCTTAATCGGATTAAAGCCGAAATAGCATCGTCAATTTTTATGTACTGCAATGAAAAAAGTTGTCTTTCTCAATAAAGGAATTGATTGATTCTCCCGTTTTTGGAAACGAGAGGTGAAATATGGTTCGAAATTTATCTGAATATTTTTTAGGTAGAATACCAATCGGCGAAACCTGTAAATTAGCAAATGGGGTATTGGTTAAAGGAACAGCTGTGTGGTCAAGAGCAACTTCCTTAGCTAGGTTAGTTGAAACAACAGTTGGATTGTCAATGCCAAACTTAAGATTTTTCGAAAATTTGGACATGCGAGGACCATCGTAACCGAGACGAGCACCGAAACGCAAGTCTGAACAGAGTTTCAAAAAGAAAGATGAATCGGGATGCCCACAGAGAGCATCTTCAAGCGCGTCAACGCGAATTGGCGTAACTATAGTATTGTCTAAAAGTATTGAATTACTGCTATTATATGTACTACTAGATTTTAAACTAACAGTTCTATTTTCTGTTGGTCTTCGTGGAGCTACGGGCGGATTGTGAAGGGTGGTCTTCGTTGTGATCATTCTCTCCATGAGATTGTGAACATTGGTACCCAGGATGGCTCCCCCTACAACCAATTCGGTTACACCGATTAGTGTAGGGGCAATTGGATCGTAATGGGCAAGGTCTACTCCTGTTATAGCTGTGGCAAATTCCGTCCCTCGCTGCCCAAGCTTTGCATGAGGGTCCATTGGAAAAAAGGGAATAATATTCCCGCAACTGAGTAGAGCTAGCGATGAAAATGCGCAACCATAACTGAATATCAATGTTGGCCCACGACAATGTTCGACACGCGGCGGCTTTGTAACGAAATTTGTGGTCATATATTACCAGCCTAAACCTCCATACGTTTTTGCCGCATGACGGATGGCTTCCATCTACTGTAAAATTTCTGATGCACGATTTGGAAATTCTTGAACAATGATTAACATATACGTGTTGACAGCGGTTGTTCACTCTTCAATGTTAGTTAGCACTTGAGATTCCTGTAGAGGAAATTGTGAAACCCACGTTGTCGGAATAATCTGAACCATCGTTTAACGTATTTAAATTTTTTGGCAATAATTTAGCAAGCTCAAAAAACTCATCACTTTCGATGTCACGAATGTATTTGCTTGGAGTCTCTGGCGTGAATATCCCATCTGCTTGCTGGATTGCGGGATATTTAATTTTTCTTGTTTTAACTTTCTCTTGTTTTAATTAACGTTTTCTAAAACAGAACAAAATTTCTTCCAACATTCCTTCGAGGAACTAGTTTCATATTAATCTGACACTGCAATCGAGCAACGAAAAAATTCGTTGGCTGGAGCGGGATTTGAACTCGCATCTTCGGGTATCTAGACCGCCGCTTTACCTATTGAGTTATCGAGTCAACAGGGATTGGTAGCGAGTCTTATCCAATTTAAGTGCACGAAATATTTTCGTGACGACTTAACGCTTGTCTTAGAGGACACGCAGTGTTTCAATTCTATTTCAGAACCATCATCAGAGATACGAAAAACTAGTTTAATATAAATCTGACACTGCAATCGAGCAACGAAAAATTCGTTGGCTCGAGCGGGATTTGAACTCGCATCTTCGGGTATCTAGACCGCCGCTCTACCTATTGAGCTATCGAGTCAACAGGGATTGGTAGCGAGTCTTATCCAATTTAAGTGCACGAAATATTTTCGTGACAGTGTCAGATTAATATGAAACTAGTTTTTCGTATTTCTGAGAATGGTTCTGAAATAGAATTGAAACACTGTGCGTCCTCGAAGACAAGCATTGAGTCATCACGAAAATATTTCGTGCACTTAAATTGGATAAGATACGCTACCAATCCCTCTTGACTCGATAGCTCAATAGGTAGAGCGGCGGTCTAGATTTCCGAAGATGCGAGTTCAAATCCCGCTCGAGCCAACGAATTTTTCGTTGCTTGATTGCAGTGTCAGGTTAATATGAAACTAGTTTTTCGTATCTCTGAGGATGGTTCTGAAATTCCTTCGAAGCTTTTAATCAAATTAGTAACATGAGCGTACGGGCCTAATCTTGCTTGGGGGGCACAGTATTTGTTTGCCCAACCGCTTTGCTTACACAGTACACATAAACGACTTTGTTCGAGATTTTATCAGAGCCTTTTTTAAAGATTTTCCCTTCGGGGAGGGGGGATTTTTTGAAAAAGGACGTTTCTGTGAGATAATGGACCCTGCTTTTAATCCAGTGAATGCCCTAAGGCTATAACAATTGTCGTATACAATCAGTTATCTCCTTTAGAGACTCTCAGGAAAACAAAAGTAACTATTCCTCGCGTACAGACAAAAAGTGTATACTATCCATATATTTGAACATATGAAATATTCTTGGCATAATAGTTCATCCCTGCTGAATTTATACTTAATCTTACAAATGTATAAATGTAACTGAGTATTTACTGAGAGGACATGTGAAAACTTTATCTTTATTTATAACTCAAATAAATATTTGAATTAAATTAATACAATTTGTATCCAAGTGCAAGGAAAAGATAGGGCCGCTTTAAAAGACAAAATTATAAGATCGTGAATTCCACAAGAATATGTGTATCAATGGTCAAAAATGACTTCTGTACATAAAGGCTGAAGCATGTTTCAGCATGTTCTGAGGAGAACATTATGAAGTGGCCAATGGATTTTGCTGGCTATGTACTTGAAATTTGTTGATATTGTACAGTGTTCATTGCACTATTTCTCTCCACACTTTCAGTTCTCTCCACATTTTCAGTTAATTTGAAGTCAAAGAAAGCTTCCGATCCGAGCTTAGGTTTCAAGCAAGATTCAAAATTGTATATTAATGAAAGCTTAACAAAGAAATCTAAAGAACTATTGAGGAAAGTCAAATCATGCGCAAGAGCTCACAATTTTAAGTTTATCTAGACAAGGTTTGGCAAAGTGTTTATTCGAAAGACGATAGCCTTTTGTCCTTACCCAGCATTTCGTTCCCAACAGTCGAAGAATTTGCTGACTTTTCTGCTCGTATTCAATCAAGTTAATGACATTCAGAAGTAAGGAACCTATTTATTTATATTCTGAACTAATTGTAAAATGTCTTCTTTAATTGTACTTCCATTTGCACGTATTGACGATGATGAATTTAATTTACTTATATAGGAAGCAAATTACGAAAGAATTAATTTCAATGAGGACAGAATAATGAGTCTCAAACTTCAGCCGCTGTTATCTGTTAGTACGAAAGGCTTAGCAAATTTGAATGATCTAAACCCCGATTCTCAGTTGTCGATTTCCGACACTTGCACATATTATACTGAAAACAAATCTAACAATTGTATTGTTTCCACTAGGTTAAACAACACCGTTTAAACATGAGAAGCTTATCCCGAAATTTTGATGGTTTAAGAGCATAAAGTTCACATTGGTGCACTGGAAAAATTATTTTTTAGATTATTTTTCTTATTTTAAGCAATTATTTATTATTATTTCTTATCTAGAAATATTTCAAGAAAAAAATCTCTGTTTTAAGAACAAAAATTTTAAAATACGAAAATATAACTGGACAAGAATATCCGAGAGAATTTTTTTCTTATTTTAAGAACAACATGTTTCCAACCTAGAATAATCCCCGAGACGACGGCGCGAAGCGCCGTGCGAGAGTACTAATTACCCCCGGCTATTTACACCCGGGGAAACGAAAGCATTAGCGGAGCCTAAAGTTCATCAAATATCGCGGGCGTGGGTCACCAACGGTGTTGGGTGGGTGGTCATCCTCACTGATCTAAAAAATATGGCAGACTGTCATGAATAGCGGACACTGATTGGTCCAATTCAACAGCGAAATAGCAAACATGATTGATAAATTGATGATTGATAAATTTCTTGCAAATATATTTCATTTTTACTCGCATTTTTGCAAGATTTTGTAAATTTCAAAAGCTCTGTGAGAAAGGAACTGCGAAAGAATCGGCTAAAACAGGGGAGCCGACGTTAACGAAGGTAAGTTTGTTTTAAATATTGATTTTATAATGGTTTAAAACCCGACGGCCTTTGGCTTTGCGTATATGAAACAACTAAACAAGACAGCATATAATTTCTGTGTATCTTTAATATTTATTCCCTTTTTTATGATATTGAATTTTTTAAATAAATAAGAAAGCAAAGTTATTTGCAAGCGAGAATTTAAAATCATTTTATTGCAAACTCAAAGTTTATCGATAAAGCCATTTTAAAAGGCAGTATAATTTTATATTAAAGAACACTAATGACTTTAAAACGCTTTGCGAAGCGTTTGTGGTTGAATTTTTCCTTAAATCGAGGCTTATATTACGTATAATAACATACCTAACATATATATGTTGGGAAATTAATAATTTTGTGATTAAAAGTGATATTTATAGGCGATTTTTCATTTGTAAGAATATTCTTAAAAAATTATCGTGTTACCATGACAACTTAGATACTTCATGTTCGGAATATGCAATGGTTTTGTCAGCAAGGCGAGGGTTTCTGCGTCTTGAAATGAAGTTTAATATTATTAATCGCTTAGTATCAAAACCTCCCTTTAGGCAATTTTAGCTTGGCTATACGAGATATGATATTGAATTGAAGAAACCTCGTTCTATTGTATATAGGCTATCTTTCACTTTTTTTTATCAAATTTGAAGCTGAACGGCTCTGTCCTAAATTGTCGCAGTTTCAACATGGTGGATATCACAATGAATACAATATGCCGTATGAATTGTTATTAAAAAATAACAATTATATATGAATTCAAATAATTTGTGACAATCGCCTATCAACACTTGGAATGCAGTTATAATTTTATTCATAAACCTCGCATAGACAAAGCAGGGTGGCGTTGGGCTATATGTAGCAGATGATATTCAATTTATAATTCGCTCAGACCTGGGATTTAATCAGTCTATTCGTACTGCGTTACTTTTTATTGAAATTCACAAACTCCAGGGGAAGAATATAATCGTTGGAATTGTATGCAGACCCCTGATGTTAGTATTATAGTTAAATTTTAGGAGACTGGAATATTAATTTAATGAACCACTTGAATCATGAATTAACTAGTAAATTCCTGGATATAATGTACACTAATATGTATTTGCCCTTAATAACACACCTTATAACTAGAATTCTTCACAGTCTGCAATCCTAATTGATAATATATTTACCAATAGGCTCATCTTGACAACCACGCTCTAAGCTGTCTTTTGTTTACTGATATAGCTGACCACCTACCCATATTATTGTTAGTATTTTCTCTGAGCAGCAAGATACTGTAAATACTAGCTAGAAAATACATGCATGCAGAAACCCTCGCCTTGCTGACAAAACCATTGTATTTTCCGAACATAAAGTATCTAAAGTAATTGTCATGGTAACACGATAATTTTTTAAGAATATTCTTACAAATGAAAAATCGTCTAAAAATATCACTTTTAATTACAAAATTATCAATTTGCCAACATATATATGTTAGGTATGTTATTATACGTAATATAAGCTTCAATTTAAGGTAAAATTCAACCACAAACGCTTCGCAAAACGTTTTAAAGTGTTCTTTATAAAACTAAATTGCCTTTAATAATTAAATGGCTTTATCGATAAACTCTGAGTTTGCAATAAAATGATTTCAAATCTCGCATGCAAATAACTTTGCTTTCTTTTTAATTTAAAAAATTCAATATAATATATAAAAAGGCAATCAATATTGAAGATACACTGAAATTATATGCTGTCTTGTTTAGTTGTTTTATACACGCAAAGGCCGTCGGGTTTTAAAGCCATTATAAAATCAATATTTAAAACAAACACACCTTCGTTAACGTCGGCTTCCTTCTTTTAGCCGATTCTTTCGTCCTTTCTTTCAGGGAAAGCTTTTGAAATTTACAAAATCTTTCACAAATGTGAGCAAAAATGAAGTATATTTGCAAGAAGTTTATCAATCATGAAATCAAGATATGTTTGCTATTTCGCTGTCGTCATGCAGTTGTTATAATGAAAACTTCAAATTGGACCAATCAATGCCCGCTATTCATGCATTTTCAATCAATGCATGCTATTCATGCAAAAATATGGCATTTTTGAGATCAGTGAGGATGACCACCCATCGTTGGTCACCCACGCCCGCGACAATTGACGAACTTTAGACTTCGCTAATGCTTCTCTAATGCTTTCGTTTCCCCGGGTGTAAATAGCCCGGGGGAATTAGTACCCTCGCACGGCGCTACGCGCCGTCGGCTCGGGGACAATATAGACACCTTAAGATCGACGTGTACGGCAAACGTCAAACCGCTAACAAAATTTTTTATTTTACAACTCTATCATAACAGCTTTTAAACCAGTTATGAAATATATCAAACAATTGTTAAACTTGTGGTGTTTAGCAATGATTTAAGAAAGCAAATTAACCACTAGTCATGAATTGACCAAATCAGTAAATGGCGTTTGAAGTTTACATTTGGCGTATAAATTTCATGGTTGAACTGCTACTAGGGCTTGTATTCGTTAAAGCATGAAATTTATACGCCAAACGTCAACTTCAAACGCCAAATCTTAATTTACTGCTTTGGTGAATACGTGACTAGTGTTTAATTTGCTTTCTTAAATAATTGCTAAATACCACAAGTTTAATAATTGTTTAATATATTTCAAAACTGGTTTAAAAGCTGTTATAATAGAGTTGTAAAATCAAACATTTTGTTAGCGGTTTGACGTTTTCCGTAAACGTCAATCTTAAGGTGTCTAATGTCAACACATATTTTGTCGTTCGTAATAACTAAAAAACGTTATTAAGACTGATTTCCATTCAGTGCAAAAATCACGAGATCAACTTTTTGCGATCACTTTCTTTTGAAATGCGTTCAGTCAATAAGTATGATTACAATTCGACTGGGCTGTGCAATCTTTTATTTAAACCAGAGAAGCGAGCGAAACATGATTGATATACCTAGTTGCAGTGAACGAACAAACTTTAAGACAAACGAGTCAGTTAAAATAGTTTTAAATAGCTATTTATAAACTATGTTTGCTTTCTTCTTTGCAGCCATTCTTAAAGGGGAAGTCCGTTCTGCGCATCTGTTCTGCGCATTGTTTACGTTTTTGTTTTCATACACTATAACTAGCCTACATAAAGTCCTTCCCCTTTCATTGCTCTCACCTGGATGAATACACTATAAAACAATGGACGATATTTATATTCTTAACAATACGCTAGACGAAATCGAACGCAGTCAAATAGAGGAAATCGCGCAAGTTCCAAATGTTGATAACATGACAGTATGTTCATGTCGCGGAATGTGTTCACGAGAAAAAGGAAGAAATGCTTGTCCTTGCAAGGGAATAGGACATTATTGTTCTTCTGTTTGCCACCCGGAAAGCCAGTCATGCATGAATCGACAAAATATCGAAAGTGACACAGACGAGGACACAGATTCGTTTGAAACATTTGAAAGTCAAAGTGAAACGCAGGTATGTGGATGTTACCAAAATAGTGTGTGTTTTTTTTACCATAATAGTAATTTTGAAATATTTCAATGTAAGATTTTTTTGGCAGGAATTAGGAGAGCATGACACTGATGATGACGACAGTGAGAAATCGGATACCCCAGAACCACAAGCAAAGCGAGCGAGAGGTCGTACAAGTGGTTTATCCCGCGGAGCTAGAGGCAGAGTTCGTGGTCATGGTAGAGGGCCTAGAGGCCGTGGAAGAGATCGTGGACGAGGTCGAGGAAGATTAATTGCAGAAGATAATTCCGAACAACGACTGGTTGCGCACGAACAACAGCTGCAGGTAAATATCAAATTTTTAA